ATAAACAGCGGCTCCGAGATTTAAACCTCTTCCCCCTCAAACTGAGGCGGATGAGAGGAGACCTAACTGAGACATTTAAGATCGTCAAGGGCATATCCGGCCTTAAGATTGGCGACCTGTTCTCCTGGGTTCCGCATAGAGGCACGCGGGGACATGACTAACGTTTGCAGCGAAGCCACTATAGGCTGCAACTGAGGGTGCAGTGGATTGAGACCGACAGTGTAACATACTCGAGAGTTGTCACCACCTTTTGTCTGCCTGTTTCACATATATGCTTTCGCATGGTTGCAGGTACTGGTTGCTTGGACCATTCGCTCGTGCATCTTCTCCTTCATAGCAAATATTCGGCCAGGATGTTCGATGTCCTGAGACCGCTTCTTCAGCTAGGCCTTTTATCTTTATTTAAGTCACCGCCACCTCCGGTGATGTAACTTCACTTTAAACGGTGCGCGAGTTTGTTGCTACACATTCGTTTGGTAAGCATTTTTACTTTCTGATACTCTCGAGCGTGGTCAGGCTAAACTTCGGTACTTTCAGGGAACAATATACTTTCCCTTGACTAACCGGTTGTTCCTCCTGATCGAGAAACACGGGAGAATTAGAGAACAGATCGCTGTCGCAAGTCGTGATATTGCATCCCCCATCTCTAAAAGGGCAACGATTTCAATAACCGCGTAATTCCGTTATGAAACTGGTTGCCGCTGGCAGTGGTGAGCTTCAGTACTATAGATGCGCTTAAAAAGGCACTTGATGCGTGTCGGATAGCGGTTTTCCTTGATGTAAGCGTTTAGTACCACCTGTAACTTAACCACAAAGGACGTAATTCTGCACACACTATTCTGCCTCTCAGAAAAATTGCATATCGAAGTTTTGGAAGCCAAGGAAACTCGCCGACAACACACAAATCTGGACGCTCGATTGGCAGGAGCCACAAATCGTCCTGTGAGAACTGAACAGAACTGAACGGCGGACACTTGAATGTTACATACCCCGCGTGGTGTGAATTTATACAATGCTCTTGGCCTTGAATCGTTTTGCCAAGTTAAAGTGAGATATCTCGGCATAGTTCACACTATATGCACCTATTTTTACCGTTTTTTCACCCGAGGAATATTACAAGATATTTCATAGTACTAACCTCTGACTGGTTTTAACCAGTCATTGAAAAACGTTTTTGTTGTTTAGAAGTTTTACAAGTTGTCCTTTTGGTACTTTTTCCTCTTCGGTTACTTGTCCTTTTTGTTCTATTTTCGGATCCTTTTGATGTATTGATAAAATGGTAGACAAACGTGACACTTTCGTCCCAGTCAGTGTCAGGAACAGGTTGAAAGTGGTATCCAGTGTGGTAGATGCAAGGCGTGGTACCACCAAAGATGTTACAAGTTATCCAAGCTGCATCACTTGCTTCCTAGGTAATATCCATCTCTGAAACGGATATGTAATCATTGCGTTTCTTTGGCGGAGGAGTGCTCCAGAGCTACAGAAGCTGGGACGACTTCGGGTGGTTGTCGCTGGTTCGACTCGTTCAATTCATCGTCACTGTCAGAGGCAGCATCACCGGGCTCTGTCACGTTGGGATCACCGTTGTTGGATGCCAGTAGATCACTGGCCGAAACAGTGGCGTGGACACAACCTTTGGTGTTGACTAAAAAAGAAACCGCAAGGGAAAAGTAACCCACAACGCGAAAATAAGTCCAGAAATTATGCGTACATGTCAGATAAGCGCCGAAACATTGATGAGCTAGAAGGAAAAAAAACTAATTTGGTCTCAACAATCTCGTGCTGGAACATACGCTCGTTGAGAAGGTTCAAGTTATCACAACTGAGGCGTTTCGGGGTTTACTACCCAACTTTCTTGGCAGAAAGCGAAGTCGACCAACCAAGTACCATATTATCCTGTGAAAGAGTTATGCTGTTCGTCCCATGACCGGTTCGCCAAGTTGTACCATCATCATCGTACGGCGGAATTGGAAAAGCGAACTTCACTAATTGCTACCAAACTCACACTGCATAAAAAGTCAGTGATAATTTGAAAGTTGATCCGGGATTGGAACAGAAAGCGAGTTACTATGGTCAATACAGAAAACACAGTTCAACTGCGCACACACACCTTTTTCAAGCATTCTGATCTGATAAGAAATGACAACAAGAACACCACTATTGTCGGTTTGCTGACCTTCACTGTCTCCAACCATCCCGTTACAAAGTGGATCGGACCCCAAGCTAGTCTACTTAATAGCTCTGAGCATTTCTTCATACCTCGTCTCCACATCATCTTTTGACCTTCGCGTGGTTTTCTCAAGCTCCGAGTGAGCTGAATTCGATGTGATAGCGAAAATTTTCTTGACACATTCATAGACACGACGAATTTTTTCTCGGTTACTAACCCGCTCACTCCATCCCACCTGGACCAGACTAAGGGGGCGTGGATTGTCGAAAAATGCCAGCGATTATCTTCTTTACTGCGCTACGCTTATTGATCACGCAATTGTGTATGACTTCAGTCAATTCCTGACCATCTTGTTTTAATATAGGACTAGTCGACACCCAGTCTTGCAGCACTATGAAGGTACAAAGCACATGCTTGAAGGAGTAACAGCTTCTTTGTTTGTCAAGTGTTTCACCCGCGTCCCCTACGCATCTGAACAGCCAAACAATATCGTCGGCGTACTCAAAGTCGCACAGCTGCTCATCAAATACCAAATTTTTGTAAAACTAATTGCGTTCTCTAATATTTCGTCCACAAAAAAGTGATCAGGAACGGTTAGGGAGGGCAACCTTGACAAACACTGCTACTGGTTTGGAATGATGTGTTTCGCTCACCATACACCCGAACGATTCCAGAATTATGCGCGTATAGTGACCCCAATATGTTTAAATAGGTCAGCAATGGAGTCTAAGATGTCATTAGCATTATACTGAAGAGAGTGAGAGGAAGCCCGTCAGGTTCTGAATGTCAGATCTTGCTTCCGATGATGGAGGTTCACATGTACCATCTATGGAGCTTAGGCCTCAACAGATAATCTTGATAGCACCACACCAGCTGAACTGTTCGTTGAAATACTCCGAATAGCGATCAAGCCCTTGTTTCTTATTAGTTCACTAGTTGGATTTATTCAACCTCCAGAACGGCGTAGCAATTGGATATGTCTGTGATTATTCTCTGATGCCCTTGCTACTTCCAATTTACTAGCTGTCGTTGCCCACTAAACTTCAATAATAAATAAGAGAAGGAAATCAGAGGATAAAAATTCAATAAGTAGAAAAAGCTGTAATCTGTTGGTGGTGCTACCGCGTTGTACGAAATTAGGCTTCGTCCAACTGTTTCCAGTAACAATCATGAATGAATTTCTATTTGATATGACAAACAGTCGCCAACCCTGGACAATAAAGAAAAACGGAAAACTTACTACTAAACGCTCACGCCGCAAACCTACGCATAACATTCACAGATTCCCTTTGACCTGACTCGACTAGGCGGATGCCGTTGGAAGGGTATGTTCGATTAGTACATGCCCTGGGGATCAACTTGACAGTTTTGTAACTTCACAATAGCGGTGCACTTTGCTGGGGTGTGACAGAAACATTACTACTTAGTCTGGAATGACAAGAGCTTTTGCACCAAATCAAGCGATGCCCATAGCGTTGTAGTTAGCTGAACAATTTCCCAAGTTCTGTAAATAACAGCGAGAGAATTGCCCGGCTTTCCAGAATGATAAAATATACCACGTTTCTGGTTAGCGTGTTTCGAATTAAACGTGGCAGATGTGGCTTCGCTAAAATTAGTAAAATGTTAGGTAAATCTGAATGTTTCACATCAAACAACACTCGGAAAGAACGAGAAAAGGTATAATTGCTTACTTTGGGATCGCTCAGACGTAGCTTGCGTGATCCGACTCCGGCCCAAAGGTTCCAATACATCGACCAGGTAACCACCAGCAATCAAACTGTTCAGCACAGGAGGTGGAGCCAACAGCTGAGCGTCTAACTGTCCACGAGACTGAACGTGGTAGGCTGCGCGCAGTGCGCGTAAGCGGTGCGCGATACTGTTCACAAGCCGGAAGTCGGTTTCCACGCCATCTTCATCACGTAAGGCAGCCACCTGAGAATGAGAGGTTTCGGAAAATCAGTAAATTTCGCACTGATTGTCGAGCACAGCGAATTCTGTTATCTCCAAATTCTTGGAGTGGATATTAAAACTCGGAAGCATTTCCAATATTGACTCTTTGATAACCAAGTTGTGAACCTAAAGAACATACTATCGATGAAGTGGAACATAAAAATATTCAACTTTAAAGCTCTTTGTGCACATTTACTACTTGGTACAATAAAGAAAGTACGCTATTGGTTGATTTAATTTAGGTTACTGTTACATACAAACAATGACTAACATGAAATGCACAGAACAGCATCACGGAATTTGCATAGAAAGTGTGGTTTACAAAATTTGAAAACACTACAATTGAACTACAGAGCGATTATTTTCGAATCCATCAGGTTTCGGTCACCGCTTGTGCGACCACTAATCATAAAAACTCCATGCGTTCAGTTAGATTGCTGTCTGACAGTTAGTCGGCAAGTGAAAGAGTAAGAAGAACCAGGGTGAAAAAGATAAAGAAAGATACAAACCGCGGGTAAAGTGTGTGTGCCGATGCAATAAGATAGCTATCCACGACACCGAACCGGTTCAGTGCCAAGGCTAACCTATCGCAGCCATATAAGGTTCACCACTCCGAGTCCCGGAACTGAGGTTGCCGGTTTTCATCATTGAACGGCAGATATTCGCGACTATGGGGTTTAACCCGTTTCCTGTTCATCACACAATGGTATGCAATAAAAAACACTCACGGTCTCTGACCTGCAACTGAGTTAGTATTTTCCCAAGCAGCAACACTTTTCATTGTCCTCTATAGCCTATAGAGTTAAGTTAAGTTTGAGAAGAATAAGCGCACAACCTGGCAACGTTATACATTTGAAATCCAAAACATATGCCAACGATAACTACTGACTAAACCAACGAGAAATATCTGAAGCTTTTATGGTTCTTTACTCAACAACTTACTGTCATCGTCATGCTTCAACTTGCTACTTGAGCACACGTCGAGGACAGAATCCCCCATGAGGACTAGACCACTTCTAAAATTCCCATAACTACAAATATAGAGAGGAGAAACCAAAGAGGATAGTCCTGGCAAAAACCGCTCTCCACGATGAACTCGAGCGAAAGAGAGCGATTAGCTAGGTGGCATCGGTCATTCAAGTTCAGTGAGCATAAAATAGCAGTAAACACCTCTGGTTGACTGAGCTTATGGCCACCTCCAGACTGAGGGAAAAAGAACGGACTACGGAAGGAATTTCTGTGTTCCAGAAATCGGTAAAAGATACGGATGTGATTGATACAGTCAGTAACAGGTGAAAAACTCGCCTGGTTCTCGCTCGTTTACTGTTCGCATGAGGTAAGCAAACAACATGTCACATTGAGTTATCCACGTTTCAGAGAGAGCATCGAGCGCATCAAACAAGTTCACTTTAGAAATATACAATACGCAAAGGGACATGTGAGGAACATACCTGACCGGGTGTCGGATAAGGTGTCACACAGATGCTGGGTGCTAATTGCTTGGATTCAGCTCTATGAGGTAATCGTTGATACAGCTCTTCCGTAATGAATGGCATGAATGGATGTAGGAGTCGAAGTCCCACATTCAAGCAGAGATAAAGCACACAACACACCAGATTAGCTCGTTCCATGTGCACCGGTTTTCCATCCGGTTTAACTATCGGTTTGGTGTATTCCTGTGATAATCAGAGTGACACGGACAAGAATTAAAAATGTTCGAAAAGAGATACTATTGGGTCGGCTAAGAGTGAATCATAATCGTACAGTGAAATACATCATCACCATCATTTTAAAGAGTAATACAGTGAAGCGAACTTCACTGATCGCTGCCAAACTCATGTAAGGTAAAAAGACTATTTTTACCTAAAACTGACTATTTTCGAGTATTTTCAATTAGAAGCATCTCTCTAATCAATACTAATCTCGCAGAGATTAATCAAAGATATTGCGTCATACGGAAACATTCACTCCGTCCATCTAATCCGTGACCTATGACCGATTGAACTTTGCTAACTGTGTACTTGATTGGCGCAATCTTTTCTTGCATTAACCGATGCTGTTTTGAGTCACATATAAGCATC